TGTGTTTGATTAGATAGAGTTTGAAAATATGTAGGTTGGGAAACACTGCTGATGATTGAGGATCCCAGAAGAACATCTCCCAATGTTTGAATGTTCTCCTTAACCTTTTTTTTTGTAGAATGATGGAAATTAGAGGGTGCAATTATGACCTGAAGAAGCATAATGAACAGATTCAGAAGTGTGGCTCTAGTTTCCATTACATCTGCTTTGAGGTGTGGAAGAGTTTGAAAATGTGTTGTGTTGAGGTGTGTCCAGAAACAGTGTTGAGAAACACTGCTCTATATCAGTGGTTCCCACGTTCCTGAAGCCCATTTTAAGACTTTGAGTGATGTCCTGAATCAGGTGTTTAATTTAAGGGGTCCTGTTATGCCCTTTTACAAAATTTTGAATTGGTTTTTGGGGTGTACTATTATAGGTTTTGATTGATTTTGATGGATCACTCTTAATTGTTCACATATTTTACATTATTGCAGCACCTCTCTTCCCAGTCTGTCTCAAACATCCTGTTTACTTACTGTTTCTGTGAAATCCCTCCTACCGAAATAAGAAATGTGCTCTGATTGGTTAGCTGGCCCAGTGTGTTGTGATTGGTGAACCGCTTGGAGCGTGTTCCGGAAATGTAACACCACTTACCATAATTTCATCTGCTCAGCTGTAAATATTTACAATGGCGTCAATTTTGCCATACAAATTTGAGTCCGATTCATACCCTGGGTGCATCTCAATCAGCTCGCTAGTTCAGCAATCAGGGCACTGATCAGGGAGTTGGTCATTTTAAGGGCTGTCTCAATTGCAAAATCCTTCCAGTGCACTGGAACGTTCGCTCCCTGAAAAATCTCACAATGCACCACAAAAACTAGGGAGCATCGATGCCCATTATGCTCCCTTACTGGAAATTACATCACATTTCTGAAGCACGAAACATAAACCACACGAGCCAACTCGATAAATATAATGACACGCGAAAGACGATTTGAAAAGACAAACCATTTTTAGTATATTTCAGCATAAACACATCGCTAGTGAACACATCTAGTTAACATTTATAATTTATAAGATTCTGCTGAAATGCTGTAAGGACATGTAACAGAACATGTTTAAAGAGAATAAAAAATAATATTAAAAAAATTGGTCCTGTCTGTTGTTGATTAATACAAGTGGTGACGTTTTACAATGTTGTCCATTGACGTTGTACGTAATTATGCCGCCTTAAAGGGGTGGTTCACTGGCTTTTTTCTAGGCTTGATTGTGTTTATGGGGTGCAGTCTAACATGTGCTAATGCTTCGTTTTTTTAAAAACTCATTATTTTTCACATAATTTATCTTTATTCCACACCGCTCTGTCCCTTCTCTGAGAAACGGGCTGATCTTTTCCTGTTTTTATGAAGCCCCGCCCTCAGAAATAGGCGATGGGCTCTGATTGGTTAGCTAGCCCAGTGTGTTGTGATTGGCTAAACCGCCTCTAGTGCGCGTCTAAACGTCCCGCCCCTCACCTCAGCGGCATGTGCTCCGGTTGTATTGTAAACAACGGCGTCGTTAATATCGCTTATCAGTTTGAGCCCGATTGAGAAGCAGAGGATATTACTGAAGAGGATCATGTAGAACCTGTGCAAGCACGG